CTGAGTAAATTATCTTCTAAAAAAAAAAATTTAAAAGTGCATTTCTTATACACACTGGACCGCTCTGCCTCCACAAGGCTTGTGTGGCATTTCTTATTAGATTTGTTCACTCTGCTAACGGTCTTAGAACATAAGAAGTTATCCTCCTGTTAAAAATGCAGCATCTCTCTGCAGAAGCTTGCTGCTTCTTTTTTCTGTTCTTGTGTACTCTTTCTTATACTTGGTGTAATGCAGGGAACACCTAACAGCAAAACTCTTAAAATCTTCAAGATAAATGTGTGTGGAATGTAACAAAGAGGCAATAGGATCAGCATACTATAAATGGATCATGACTATCATACTGGAAATAAGGCTATTTGAAAACCAAGGCAAACTGGAGAGTGACTATCATGGATATTGCATGGAGGCAGACTAAATGAACTGGAAGTATGCAACCATCTTTACGTATAGCATGCCTCTTTCATAAAACAGAGGGAGGAATTTTATTTATAATATCTATTGCAAACTAATTCTGAAAGAAGATTTGTCTGGGGTGTTCCAGAATGGGAGCAGATGAGATTTAGCCCGTGAATCCTTGAATCTTCCATGTGTATTGAAATCAGAATTTGAAACTGCCTTTGTCTTGATCCTCTCTCTTTCTAAAATCGTAGTCCCCATGTGCAGCTAGAGGCTGACTTGCAGTTTTGTTCCCTACATTAATGTCTCTGTTGAAAGTGGGAGGAGTGACAGACAAGCTAGTAGATGGCATTGCCGTAGCAACTTTCCGGAGCCTTCCTATGTAGTACAACTGTCCTGAGGACTATTCTCATTCTATATAATTGTTGCCAAATTAATCACAAGAACAAATAAAAATCCCAGGTCTCATTGATAAATTTACTTCTTCATAAAAAAGTGGGAAACCCCCCCCCCAAAACTCCCAAAAAACAACAACAAAAAAAAGAATGTGCAAAATGATTTCTAAAGTCATCATTATAAGGAAAATATTACTACTCACTTTCTAGGATGTTAAACCAAATAGCTGGAAGTACAGGTGGTCTGAAGTCACATTTGGTAGCAGCAGAGCTGTAAACATGCTATAGGACTGCTGCATTCAGAAGTTTTGTTCTTAGTTGCAAATCACTTGTGTCTCTACATTAATGACATTGAAGATCATCGTTTGGAAGGATTATATTGGGTGGAACTGCAATAAAGGTGATCTGAAAACTGCACCAAACATACATCTGGATTCTGTCAGCTTAGTTTATTTTTGCATTGTTCTCTTGTATTGTACTTTTAAGTTATCTCAGATTGACACTAGAATACACATTAAAGAGCTGAAAATAATTCTTTAGTGTGTTTCACACAGAATTGATTGTACTATGGTACCAAAGATAAACTGATTCTTGAGCTGTATCACCTTTCTGGGGTTAAGTAGGTAGAGAAAGATGCTTTACTAACTTGAGCATGGGCCAGCATTGTTTTTTAAAATCTTAACAAGTTTTAATGAAAGGTACAAAGAAGTTTGTTCTCCCAGAACCTCAACCTTGGAGTAAAAAAAGTCATTGCTAATCACTTTGCTAATCCGTGTGGTAGCAGTTTTCTACCAAGGCATCATTCCAAAAAGTAGCTTCTGTTCAGCATTTCACTCCAGGGCACCAGGCACTGTAGTGTAATCCACGAGGAGATTTATGGACCTTGGAGTGGGACTGCTTAAAAAACAATGTGTTAGTCAGTGAGACACTGGGTGAGCAAATGGAAAATACTAAAGCTACAGAATTTCTTCTTTCTTTGGGACGTGAAAACCTTACTCAGTGCATCTTTGAGGATTTACACTTCTGGCCTCTCCCCTGAAGGTCTCTTTTCTTTCAAAACACTACTAGAAGGTTTGTCAGGATAGGGCTGGATCTAAACACAAGGTGAAAGGGAGGCTGAGTAGCCCTGCAGCGTGAGATCCAGGTGTGAGTGCTGCAGTCTGGTGTGCTGATGGGCTTGGCTACACCCCCATGAGAGAGAGCTGTGTTGCTCTCAGCAAGTTGAGACATTGAATCCCTTCCCTTCTCTGCCTGAAGAGATGTACTTGCACATCTCTAAACTTCAGAAAATGGCTCTGCCCCGTAAACTGCTGGGTATGTTGGTGTCATCTGCTTGTATCTCATCCACCTCATCTTTAACTATGCCAAAAAAGGTGCAATAACATTTACAGATAGAATGGGAGAGTCTCAGCCACCACAGAAAGACCAGTACTCTGCTAGAATAAGGGATATGGAGAGAACTGAGTCACTTCAAGAAGACAAAGGCATTTGTCCTGTTTTCTGCTGGGACAGAGTTAGTTTTCCACCCAGTAGCTGCTGTGTTTTGGATATAGTACGAGAAGAATGTTGATAACACTGATGTTTTCAGTTGTTGCTATGAAATCAAGGTCTTTTTCCAGTTTCTCATATTCAGCTAATGAGCAGGTGTGCAGGAGTTGGGAGGGAACATAGCCAGACAGCTAGTGAAACTGGTCAATGGAATTATTCCATAGCATAGGCATCATGCTCAGTTTATGAATGGGGCTTGTCTGGGGGAACAGGAACCTATCTGTTTTTTTCATTTCCGTGCTTTTCAGTTCTGTCCTGTCTGGGAGTTCGAACTTGTCCTGGAGTTTGGTCTTTTTCAGGAGTTTTGTGAAATTCACAAAATTTACGAATTTAGTGTTCTGCAATCTCTGCTTGAGGATTGGCTGCAGATCATTTGTCGGGTAATGAGAATAATTGTATTGTATATTGTTCATTTTGCATAGTCATTATTATCTTTCTTGTTATTATTAATATTAGTAGTAGTATTAGTATTTCCTTTGTTGTTTTATTAAACTGTCTTTATCTCAACCTATGATTTTCCGCTTTTGTCTGTTTCTCCTGCCCACCCTGCTGAGGGGAAGGGGAGGGGCGAGTGAGCAGCTGTTGGGTCCTAGTTGCCGGCTGCTGACTTAAATTACAACAGCATTGAATCTTTGTATCCCATAACTTCAGTTCTTGGGTAATGTGATGCTCAGCATTTCAGTCTAGACTGTAGGATTTTTGCTATGCAGGGCAACTCACACAATGCCTCTGTAGCACATAGGAGACATGCATCCTGAAGTAGGTCTCAGAAAAAGAAAAAAGGAAAACAAAACAACATCAAACACAAGACAAACAGATTCTTACTTGCACAGGCCACTGCTCCTTTGTAAGGAAGATGGGTACTTCTTGCAGTCAAATTTGAAAAAGCACCAAGAGCCCCAACTGGCAGATTTGTGAGATGAACAGAGGTATGGTTTACTGAACAAACCCCTAGCCATTGGAGCTGAGGAATATGCAGTGCCTCAGATCTTCAAAGAGCCTGGATGTGAGATAGATAGATTTTACCTTGATCTGCTCAGAGTATCAGCACTGACTATTCCTAGTGTGCCGAGAAGCAGGACTTTAAATGTTCGGGGAACTCTGCCAAAGAAATCTCAGGCTTGTTTAGGTATCTTGGGAGTTAGGTAGCAGCAGAACAAGGATAAACCGTATTTAGAAATAATGTAGCTAATCTGATTTAGACACCATAGTTCTGTTTTTTGATCCAGTCCAAAGCTCAGACTCCATTTCTGTCTTAAAAGAGAGAGGGAGTGCACCGTAATCGCATAAGTGTAAGATATCCAGACAGTGTAAGTCAAATAATGTGTAAAAAATAGGCAGCTTTTTAGCCAGCTGAAAAATTCAAAGCTGATCATGAATACTTCTCTGCTGAAATAGGAAAAGGTTTTGCAGCTGTACTAAGTTATGCCTGAGATAGCAATTTTCTGCATGTATTCTGGAAGTGATTACTATCTCAGTGATACTCCCAGCTGAGAGAAAAAAAAATGTTAGCGGAGGAAATATGATGATGATGACAGTAGAGTTACCTCCAAACATGGAATTAGGGCAGGTACAAAGTAGATAAGAGACATAGACAATGCGAACATCTTTAACATTGTCCTGTTATTTACAAGTAATAATTTCCTTTTTAACCAGTGAGCAAGTACTTGAATTTTGCTGATCTTCTTTTCGCTTGTGCCATACTAAATATTTCATGTGTATGTTACTTTAACACGATATCCAGATCAATAACATTGCTGGTACAAGTTTGAAAAGTGTGTGAGCATTGTTTGAGTCTGTGTTCTGTAACAGGAAGGTGCAATTCAGTAGAGAGAAAAGAGCTACAAAACCTGCGGAATCTTGCTCTGTAACTTAAAATAGCTTGTGTGGTGCGGAAGAAAGTTTCTTTTTGTAAATCTGTCTTGTGGTTCTAATGGAAGATACATACTGACCTACTGAGCTACATTTGCTCTGTGCCTGCTACAAGTAGTCCCAGAGAAACTACACCTGACTTTTGATTCTGTGTAGTTCAGGTGGTGCCAGGACACTTGGTTTTTCTCAGACTCTGCATTTTTCTGAGGTTAGATAATGGAAAAGAAGATACGCAAGTGAAGTTACTGGTACATCAGATAGTAGTGAGAAATCTATCAGTCAATCCATTTTAATTAATTCAATATGTTTTACTGCTCTACACAGTAAACACTGAGGAAATCAGCATGTTGTTTCTCATACATGCACAGGAGCAAACATACACTAAGTTTATAATAACATTTGTTTAAATTCTCACCCTTGAGTGAGATAATAAGCTGAAACCAACAATATAGTTAAATTCAGGTAGGAATAAAGTCACGGTTATAATCATATGTGTGCATGTGTGTGTGTGGTTAAGTAAAACTCTAGTATGAGAAGACTGCAAGACAATATCAAATGCGTTTGAAAATCATATTGTTTGCAGGAGAGAATGACATTATCTTACTCAAAAGAGGAAGCTGACAGATTCTAATGGTCCCTCACATGCTGTGCACAATAAACATTCAGCTTATCTTTCCAAGAACAATAAAATTTCATGTACTACGGCTCGACATAAGAATTATTTTTACATATCTCCATGCCACTGACTGTCTTGTAAGTTAATCTCATCTCTCATCAATTTTTCACCAGCTTCACTCTGATGTTGATAAAGGAGATGGTTCCATCAAATACATCTTGTCAGGCGAAGGGGCAAGTTCCATTTTCATTATTGATGAGAACACGGGGGATATTCATGCTACAAAGAGGCTGGATCGAGAAGAGCAGGCCTACTACACACTCCGAGCACAAGCACTAGATAGGCTGACTAATAAACCCGTGGAACCAGAATCTGAGTTCGTCATTAAGATTCAGGACATCAATGACAATGAGCCAAAATTTCTGGATGGTCCTTACACTGCTGGAGTTCCTGAGATGTCTCCTGTGGGTAAGTGCAAAATACACTGTTGGTGTTGTGGGCAATTTGGTCCTATTGCCTTTTTAAAAATTTCATTATTTTTTACCGTATCGCACTAAGCTACTTAATTATCTATGAAGCACCTGCAACAGTTAGATATTTCAAGACTTAACTGGAAATAACCTGCTAGATTATGTATTTATCCTTTCAAAAATGTTATGAAACTCAAATAGCTATGTAGGGATTCAGATAAACATTTTATGTTGTATTTCTCATTCCAGTGCCCGGAGGCTTTGTTTTATAATTCTCATTAACAATAATAAGTTTCACACCTATGCTATGGTACTCAGAGGAGATAATGTATCATTTTGTTCAGATAAAGTCCATTCTTAACAAACTCTTCAAATTCCTTTTAGTGCATACAACAATTTTTTTTTTTTTTTGTAAGTGTTGCATATATCAGTAAGAGTTTATAACTTTTCTAATACTGAAATCAGCGCTCTGGGAAATAGATGCAAGCAGGAGGGACTAGGGTACAACTTAAGACAGTTTCAAAATTCCAGTAGAATCAGAGAAGAATGGCTTTTAGAGGCTTCAGACCCTCTGTTGGAAAAGAAGGAATGTTAATTTTTCCTGAGTTTGAGTTAAGGAAGAATTTCAACCTCAAATCTACTATCTCTTCATTTTAAAGAGACAAAGTGCTCATCTGTTGTCAGGTGCCACTATTCCTTTGAAAGCTGACTGATTCAGACCAGACAGGAGTTTGGCACAGAGACATTTTGGTAAATTTGACTTTAATATGAAATTATAAATGCAAGCATGAAGCTAAAAAAACGTAGAAGGACTTAATGTACTTCAGTGGAAATAAGTGTATGGGAAGTTTCACTCCGGGTTAAGAGAGTTATATCATGATTGAAACTAGGACTTTCTTTGCTTGACTGATTTTAAACCATATAAAAATTTGATACTCTTACAGTAAGACTGATGAGACAGAATTTGCTATAGTTTCCTCAATACCATCTCCTGTGTTTTTGGATGTTAAACAATGCCTCGAAATTAGAGCTAGAGAAAGAAAAAGAATGTTCCCTGCATAAGTACCCTGCAGCATTCATTAGTCAACACTGCTTTTATATTTGAAACTTGGCTTAGGAACCAATAGGAGATAAGTAAAACATTGCTAAGAAGTTTTCTATTTATTTGTTCTACTAAGCAGTGACTACAGACACTATTCCTCATTCGATACTTGGCACTTGTTCATTGTCACTCAAACACTATGTGGATGGCTAAAGAGGCAATAGTGGCCATGGAAAGAAAGATGGACACCACAGCTTTTGAGGAGTATCAGAGAGGAGGTGAAGTTGTGATACATTGCTGAGAACTTTTTACTGCTGTACTTTGGAAAAACAGAGATAATCAGATAATCAAAGACTGTAAAATCTAAATATTCAGCACTTCAGAAATGTTCTGTGAAAAATACATTCTTTTTTAAAAAAATGCTGTTCTATTTTAGAATTAGATTATTTAAGCGAGCTGTAGCTTGCAGCAATGATTAGATTTTTCCCCCTTTGTCTTGTGCCCTGAAGAGCAATATCTGCACATTTCCCTTTTGCGTGAGTTACCTCTGTTTTGTCCTCTACTGGTATATTGACAAACAGACAACTAGTACAGAAGTATGAGGTTTACCTACACACAAAAAGCCATGCCTCATCCATACTCCTTTTTTTCCAAAAACATATTGGGGAGTGCAGAGTGTTCAGTGGAGAACATGAGGACTATTTTTCAAAAACTGAGCTGCTTTTGCATAATTTGTTGAATCTTTACCACATAAATGATCAAAAGAAATTCTTTCCTTTATGGACTGCAGCACTAAATATGTATTCAATTTAAGTGGAATATTGTGGAAAATTATTAGCTGAGACTCGTGCGCTCTCTGGGATTTGTGTCGACTAAAGGTGGTTTCATCTTTGGGAGCTTCCTGAAACTGTACATTTTAAACATCTTCATTATTTGTATCACACAGCTACTGAATACTGCATTGTTAGTGAATTAAGGATTACCATGAAATGCCTGTGTGGTACTTGCCTTACATAGTTACATCGATTCATAGTTTATTCATATAATACAATTTTTAATTAATCACCTAGAACAATCATGAAATATTAAGAAGAAACAATGTATCTCTCTCCAATTTTGTTTAAAATTATATCCATGACAAGGATTTTTAATTGGATATTAAACAAAATGAAAGAGATCAGAGGGTGATAAATCCAAATTAACTATAAAGCTAGGAGAACTATAACCTTTAACCTAAAAGGCAGTTATGCAAGTATGATGATTCTGTATTTTAGTTGGCAAATATTTTAGGGCATTATCTAAGGCCAGTCTTTTCTGTTACTTGAAACGACTTTGGGTCAGGTTCAAATTATATTTGGGTTTGGCCCAATTATATTGATTATCCTGGATAGGGTAAATATCTTGATGGCTTGTAAATCTATTCATAGCAAAAACCTCAGAGATATGGTTTATCTGAAAATCATATGGTGTTTTTTTGAAGTATGTAAAAAATCTAGCAGTGTTATATTTCAGACAAAAAGATTGCAAATTATAGTTACAAGAGTATTAAATGACTGTTCCTGTGATGCTGATGAAAACAATAGCTGATGTGAAATACCGATCTGTTTGGTTATAGCCAAGGGAACTGGGGATAAAAATTCCAATACCCAACATAGTTTTGGTTTTGTTTAATCTTCTCTATTCTCCAGACATATCAACAGCTTTGCTTGTTATCCAGCACAATGAATATCTTTCTTGCCCCTTTTATTATTTCTGAATGAGATGGATAGAAATATTTGATTTTTATACCAGAGGGAAAAAAAATAAAAAATAAAAAAAATCTTTATATGATGCTTAAATCTTTGGTACAAGTGGATAGTGGGTTTTGAGAGCCTGAATGAAAGGAGAGTCTCTCTCCAGTCACAAGCCCCTTCAGCTTCTCTTTATCTAACCTTGCTGTTGGGCTGGAACCAGTCTTGTCCCCAGGTGAGAACAACTTAACCTGTGGGGCAAGAGAGATGAGGAGAAGAGGGTAGAACCTGCCTGCAGGTGCTATCTCTCCCCCTTCACACTCCTGGAGGGGAAAGGCTATAGAGGCATCACTGCATCGGCTCTGGGTGAGCACCAATGGCAGAAGCACAGAAATACCAGATGGTACAGAACGGAACCAGGCCGGGCTCTTGTATGTAAAGATTAAGCAGGTACTACAGATAACTTGATAGTGAAGATGTTTACTATTTCTAGTAGCAGCTGATGTCACATAGAAATGTGATGCCGTCATGGAATTGTTTTGTCTATTAGGCATATTCCACATCATTAATTGATACCAGTCAATACCTTTAATCACTGACTGCCTTTAAAAGTGTATTTTTCGTTTGATCATGTGGCTACAATGCGATGGATAAGGGTTTGTGCAGTTTCAAAAATAAGCATTTGTTAAGTTCATCTAGTTTTCGAAACCAGTTTTCCCTTAAATGACTTCACCACTGTTAAAAATGGAAGTCAGACAAGCACTTCTCACACATTTAAAAACTTTGGCAAAATACCACATGTTACTAGCAAGATTTTTAAAAAGCTCCGTGCACAGGTTTCTGAAACAATCAATTCAGAGATTTGACAAAGATCCCTCTGAAGGATCTGCAACTCATTCAGACACCAGTTTGCCTTTATCTGACCCTATCACAGAAAAAGTTGGTCTCTGCAATATGTCCAAAGCATTGATGAATCTTGACTTGGGTAAATTCAAGTACAAATTGTGTTGAAAATTCAAGGTCCTCTCTGCAAAAGCTCGTCTCTTCCATTTGCCCTAATATCAGAACTTAAATAGGTTAAATTCTCAGATTACTGCAATTCTGTAATATCTACCATTGTCTGTTAAAGGGTAGGTTAAAAATGATAGCTTAGACATTCGGGAAAAAATCAGAAATCTGTGCCGGCCACACAAAATTCGGTGAGTTATTAGCTAGTATCAATAAATAAATATGCAGAACACACTTTGATTAATGACACAGATATTCCCTCAGTATTTGCTGCAATTGCTGAAAAAATTTGTGAAGTTGCTACATGAACTGATATTCAAGCTTTGTTATAAAGACATAATTATAGAGAAAAATAATTGTATAGGAATCCTTATCTGAGAGGGAGAGACTCTTTTTCAGTAAATAGCCTCTATTTATTTTTTCAACCCATATCGGACACACAAATCGTAAGAAATATTTAAAGTTGTAGTTGTGAAGCTACAATAACAAGTCACTAGTGAAAGTTTGGGGTAGGGTTAGTGTCCTGTTTATGCCTGCAGTCTAGGGCTCTGAAAAATGTTGCCTTAAACAAGTTTTACTGGGACACTCATTTTGTTGGATGGAGAGAAGGTCTGGTGCCGTTTATTGACTGTCCCATGTGACCTGTAAGTTATAATCTTGGACGCATATGTGACAGCTGACTGCTTGTATTATGTGGTAGGATAAAGTGTTCAGGAATGACAGGAAAAAAACAGGAATGCAAACTCTCCTTTTGTAAGATGACATAATTGGAACTACAATGCAACTACCCATTTTTCCTCAACCTATAGATTTATTGACTATCCATGAATATCCATAGAGCTTTATTAGTTACTTTTTTTTTAAGGAAAATAAGCATATGAATTTGACATCAGTCCATTGCAAGAAAAATTAGGACAGCTTTGTGTTGCATTGATCGTCCTCTGAAGGAATTCCTGTTCTGCAAGAGATATCTGCTTCCTCTGGGAAAATCTCTGGAAACCTTCACATAGTTATCTTTCCATGCATGATGTTTCCTTGGAACTGATTTCTTACATGTAGGGCTTTTCACATAGTTAGCATACCTTATGTTATCTTGCATCTTGTTTTTAGAACATATATTGTGCAGAAATCTCCCTCTCGGCATGGGACTTCTGGAAGCTCAAAGTTTTTGTGTGCAACTGGTAAAGAAATAATGGTAATAGTTGTTTTAAAAGATCTTTCCCCCATAATGCTTGAGAGAAGTTTATTAACACAAAGGGACTAGAAAAGTATCATTTTTTTTCAGTTGCTGGTTGCACTCAAGTGGGGTAAGTGCAGAAGGGTTTGGTGTTAAAATTTCTAAGTAAAAAAAAAATTCTAAAGGATTTATGTGTTTTAGGAGAGAGCCAATTAGGTTCAGATACTGTCTTTATTCATCTCACAGAATGTAGAGGGTTTGTCTGCTACGGCAATAGATTTTTACAGCAAACAGACACTTCTAAGCTTGCAGGATTTCCAAAATGTCTGTGCTGAGGTTACAGAGCCTGTAATTTCTTTGATCTTGTATTGGTCTGGAGTCCTTGAAAGCAGCAAGAGCAAGGAGCAAAGGCGTAACTGTGTGTGAGGTTTATAAGCACTTTTGCCAATATTTGCAGACAGCTTCATTGGCAGGGCTTAGGGACTTTGTAAATGTGGTAAGCCTGGCTTTTGCAAAGAACACAGGATGTCAGATAGTCATTATGATACCCTTGTACTCAAAAGCTGGAGAGACTCTGGCGAGTTTAAAATAGGTCCCTGTATGAAATTACATTATAGAGTAATCTGTAAAATCAGTTTGACATATTGAATCAAAGCTCTTAGTTACTGGTGAACAGAAAGTTGATGTATTTTAAGCCCCATAACTGATAAATGACTTGGTGGATTAACTACCAATTTTCTTTTGAAACTTTCCATCTACTTAATAGTTTCATGTGAAATTTCAGGTTGAGAATAACCTTTTCCCTGTCCAAAAATATTAGACAGTCCACACGAGAGAAAAATTGCATTTAAAATAGAATTGCAGTCATAATACTTTGTCATGAATAATACAGGAAGAGAGATCAGGAGCATTAGTTAGCTAGGCGATAACTTAAATGAATAAAGCTATCTTATGAATGATCATTTCTGGTCAGAATTCATCCAAGCAGGTCCCATCCTTTGTAATCAGTACCATTTTAATGAGAGCTGCACTTAATCCTCTCTCTTTCCAAACTTTCAGCTTGGTCCCAGGACCCATTTATGATCCTCTACTTAACTGAGAATTGAAAAGCTGAGGAAAATGGATGGGGAAATTTACTACATCAGACATGAAGAACTTCAGAACTTGATCCCACTCATTTCCTGAAAAAATCCAAATAAAACTGGAGCAGAATACAATTTATGTTAAATTTACCCTGGGCACTTGCTAGTGCAGTTTGTACTTAAAGAGTGATTTCTAGACTTGCCGCTCTCCTTTTCACATGTCAAAAATGTGTTTGTTTGGAAAATGAACACTCTCTTTAACAAATGCCTTTCTCTACTCTTGTATCTAAATCCAGTTTATGAAGAAATCTGATCCTCTGTTGAAGACTTTTATTGGGCATCTGCCAAATTGCTCCAATATTAATTTGTAACCTAACCTCCAAATGGATCCCCAGGCAGTTGAATGGAAGGTCTCAATGTTCCAGACAATCTGCCAGTGAGAAAAAAATTATCCTTTCTGGCTACCAAGGGGTGGTGAACATGACCAAGGCCCTGGCTCCCAAGCGTTCTTTTATTCTGCTCCGAGAATACATCATGGAAGCTGTTGTACAGAACAAAACAAATGGGAACTGATGTGGAAAGCATAATGAATGGGAGCTGGCTGCCGAATGGGATCCTCACAAAATATACCCTTCTTGCTAGACAGTTAGACATTTCACTTTCTTATCCCTGTCAACATAGAGACATTTCCTGCTCAAGAAATGTTTATGCAGGAGATTATTACCACAACTGGTACTAAGCTATTGCAGATTACTGAAGGAAGCGAGTACATTTTAAAGGAATTTAGAGACAGCTCTCACCAGTTTTTCTTTGCGCTGAAACAGAAACTCTTCAGCCATCTCTTTATAAAAGGGTATATAATTTTATAGGCTAAAATTAATTTTACATATATGTGTGCAATTATCAAAATATATAATACTTACATATATAAGCATAATTAGATCTTTATTCTTTACAATTTTAGCACGCAGATATCTCTTCAAAGGGAAACTATTACTACATTTCACACTTAACATATTTCAGGCATCACCATTATTTAAGGTATATTGTTCACATACCCTCCACCAACCAAAGGCAGAGATAGAGAGAGGGAGCTACTGAGTGAGATGGTTTTTATTGCTGTGAGTCAAAGGTTGAGACTACTTGCGAAGACAGAACTCTGTAAGAGCCTATAGTACTGGTTTACAAAGAGGACCTTATGCTGTAAGCTGAATCAGCATGGAAATGATGAACGATTGTGAAAAAGCCACCTCTCACTGTTCCAGGCACAGCATGTTGAATAAATGTAGTTCAGACTTTTGGATCTTTTATGTAAAATAGTCCCTTAAACATTTTGCAGGTACCTCTGTGGTTCAAGTGACAGCCACCGATGCAGATGATCCTACTTATGGCAACAGTGCTCGAGTGGTTTACAGCATATTGCAAGGACAACCTTACTTTTCTGTGGAGCCAAAAACAGGTAAATTTCCATAAAGTCTCTGCAGTAGTGCTGAGAAAAAAGAAAATGGGCATTGAAACTTACTAGGAACTTATTAATGTGGTATCTTGGTCAATTGAATACATATGGATTTTGTTGATCCTCTTATTCTTCAGAATAGATTAAGAGAACCAAATGTGTCGTATTGTATCAGATCATAGAACGATTTGGGTTGGAAGAGACATCATAGATCATCTAGTTCCAACCTCCCTGCCATGAGCAGGGACCCCTTCCACTAGACCAAGGTGCTTAAAGCCTCATTCAGACTGGCCTTGAACACTCCCAGGGAGCGGGCATCCACAGCTTCTTTGGGCAACCTGTTTCAGTGCCTCACCACCTTCGTAGTAGAGAGTTTCATTCTTATATCTAGTCTAAATCCACCCTCTTTCAGATTAAAGCCATTACTCCTTCTCTTCTCACTACAAGCCCTACTAAAAAGTCCTGTCCCCATCTTTCCTATAGGCGCCCTTAAAGTACTGAAAGGCCGCAATAAGCTCTCCCCAGAGCCTTCTCCAGGTTGAAGAACCCCAGCTCTCTCAGCCTTTACTCAAAGGAGAGGTGTTCCATCCCTCTGATCATTTTGATGGCCCTCCTCTGGACCCGCTCCAACAGGTCCATTTCTTTCCTGTGCTGAGGGCTCCAGAGCTGGAAACAGGACTCCAGGTGGGGTCTCACCAGAGCAGAGTAGAGGGGCCTCCCTTGACCTTCTGGTCATGCTGTATTTGATGCAGCCCAGGATGCTGTTTGCCTTCTGGGCTGTGAACACACATTTCTGGGTTGTGTTGTGCTTGTGAGCTCACGTCTGAGCTATGTGATAAGCAGACATTGCTGGAGTGGTAATTTTTATCTTCTTGTCAATCTACCCTGGCCTGATGTCTGTCTTTCTGATCAATGAAAATTTCAAGATGCTGTGAACAAGTTTTTTTGCAGATGCTTGTTTTAGAAATATCTAAAGGTCACATAGCCAGATTTCTTTAGGTGTAGATTTATGGCACGATCACCTCTCCATTCTGCTTCTTAAACTGAAGTTTTGTCATGGGAAATGTATCTTTTCTTTATTAGTTTAAGGAAGAAAGCACTGTGCTTCCCATCTTTAACTGATATAAAATTTTGCTGCCACTTTCAAAATAAAGTACTGGTAGAATGTTTTTTACTATTTTAATGAAATTTTGTGAATATATTAAGCCACAACAAGATGCAATATTTAATCCTCTGTCGGTTTAATAAACATTATGCATGCTACTGTATTATTTCAGTAAAATGCAGGAAAATGAGTTCTTGCTTGGCTCAGTTCAGTTTGGTGCCTGAGCCTTCACTTACACCCACATGGAGAAGAGTTGTGATCTTCATTTGAGAGATGAACAAATTGAGATAAAAAAGAAACAAACTTTTTACCCTATTTATCATAAACAATGTCAATGAGACCTAAATCCCAATGCTATGACCAAAATGTCACACTCTATTTAACAACATCTAAATTTACAGAAAGAAGGGCTATAATTATCTTCGTATTGCAACAGCTATATCCTCAGCAGCACTTTATTTTTCCTCCCAGTAAGTACGACTTATAGTGGGTTTGTCTCTCTCTCTGTGTATATGTATGTACAATATATGTTGTCATAATGACTGCAGACAGCCCTTGAAGAAGAATATGGTCGTTTCTGCTAAATCAAAATCTTTAAGGATTCACACTGAAATGTTGGTGTAGATTTTCACTTTGACGTGATACTCAAATTTCCTGTGTGCATGATAATTAGCTTCTAAATGATTGGTTAAGGTTGCCTGGCAATTTAACTCTGATAGAAAAACACACAGGCCAGAAAAAGCAATGTGGAAAAAATGATGTTATGTAATTGCATATTAGTTGTATTTTAATATGTCTTGTAAAATGGGTGAAATAGTACCAAACGGTCTGTTAGTGAAATAAATGTTTCAACTCAGAGATAACTAATGGCAAGTCCTGCATTCATAAAAGAATAAAGAAATAAAACTCTAACTAAACATTCAACAAATATCAGATGAAGAGATATGTATCCTAATGTGCCTCTTCTTTATTTATTTTGTTTATGTTTCCTTTGCTGCTGGCACTAAGCAGTGGTGGAGTAAATGTTTGCCTCTCTGGAAATCAGAGTTAGCAGCTGTACTGTGTACTGAGCATGAAATATTCATAAAGTCATCACATTTTGAGAAGGCATATTTATTTTCTGATTTATGTCAACAGAAAAGAAAGGATGAAACATGGAGCTTTCTTCTGGTTTTATTTCAAATCAATTAGTTACAAATTGTATGCAGATCATCAAATGGATACAACAAAAAACTACAGTATTACAGTATTTCCATTAATACATCAAAAATCTCTTAAATCACACTAATGCTTTAGAATTGGGTATTGTCAAAGCAAATATATAGTAAAATAGGATAATTTCATAAATTTGCAGAGTGTGGCATGATATCAATATTAGTAAGAGTTAAAGTGGTGAATGTCTATTCAAGACATTGTGAAACTAATCTTGGAATCTTATAATTGAATGCTGAATATTCTGTTCTTCTTAGCTCTAAAAGAGTGTGAAATCAAACACAGAAGATGATATCTTCCTGGGAAGGGAGTGTTACCTAAGACATTATGAAGTCTGTAGTTCAGGGAGAAGATATTTGTAAAAAAAACCGTCATGGATGGCATTATCCAGAGATTCTAGTACTAAATGAAATTAGTGGGTTTTGGTAACTACTTAAAATAATCTTGTAGTGTGTCAGTTCAGCTCCTAGTCAAAAAAAGAGATGTTAGTGTTGAAATTAATTCTTTCCTCTCTTATTGCAGTCATTGATCTGCTGCTACCTTTTAAAGGCAAACTCAGCTTTAGCAGTAATGTAGTTGCTTGTGCAACCATTGACATATCTTGTCTTACTGCAGGTGTTATCAAGACTGCCCTTCCGAATATGGATAGAGAAGCCAAGGACCAATACCTATTAGTTATTCAGGCAAAGGACATGGTTGGGCAGAATGGTGGGTTATCAGGGACTACATCTGTAACTGTCACCCTGACTGATGTTAATGACAACCCTCCCCGCTTTCCACGACGTAAGTTGCTTTGTAAAGTATGACTTGTAATGCTGTTTATAAACATTGCTATTTTCTTTACATGTCAATGCTGTTTCTAAATAAAACGTAAAAGTGCTCTGCTTCCATGTTTAGTATTTTAAGAATCACTGACAGCAAGGTTTATTATTATTATTACTACTGTTATTAATATTACTATTATTATTATTACATTGGAAGAATCTTTCCTCTTTACATAGTATGTTCCCAATCAGTTGAAATGATGTATAGTAGGTGCATTTATTAATCTGTTTTACTTTCTCTCTGTGAATAAGCAGACAAAAAAAGATACATTTTAATAGCTCTTTAGCTCTTTCCAGTCGGACTTTAGGATGCATAGTTCTTTAACTTGACTCTTAATCCTTCATATTCCTGTGGCATTTTAGCAGGATTTCTCTTGTGCGCACAGTGTTTCCTAAGGAGCTAATCATAGAAGAGCTGGAAAGTCATCTTCTCTCCATTTACTTTCTGAGATCAAGGGGGCTCTCATCCTAACCAAAGAAAGGATTACACAGTTGTAGACTCAAACCTGAAGAGCTCAGCTTTTTAATAGCATTCTGTCTGGGATGCTCGTTTCTTAAAAACAAAAAAGAAAGCCCTTGCTAAGTAGAATTAAAATAATGTGAAGAATATATTCATGTCCACTCTAGCCTCACCTCCAATGATATAAAAAATAGATATGTACATAATAGATTTCCTGTTATTTCAAGCCACCAACTGCTTGAAATAATACTAGAATAACTGAAGTTATTTTTGAAGGTGAGGGTGTTATTGGCTACAGACTGCACTCAGATACCCTTCTGACAGCATATATATCATTTTCTACTTGAATGAAAAAAATGGAATATTCAAGAATGCAGATGGTGCACTTACTGTTAAAGAAAAGAATATATATCAGTTTCTAGTCATATTCAGATTGCAAACTACCTAATCAAGATACACAGCTATGAAAGAATATCAGTTTATATTGATATTATTCGACTTACTTGCTTTTTTTCCTCTTTTGTGGAAAACAAAGTAAAATATTTTCTGCATTGGAACTCTGTAGCAAGCATTCACCTCAAGTTTTGATTATGTTTTTGCATCTTTGCCTTGTTCTTCTCTCATTGTAGGAAGATATCATGCCCATAGTACTTAAAGTAGAGTCCATCACAAGGAAAACCAAGCAAAAAAAGGGCAATTCTATTTTAAACTGAATATATTTTGTTAGCCTGAGTGAACATTCAAGTGCATGATTTCAAGGAAGGTAGATTTTAAGAAGGCTGGATTTTTTTTGGCCCACAGTCCCAGAAGACTCTGAATTCATTACATTTTTAAATTTCACAGGATCATATCAGTATAATGTCCCAGAGTCTTTGCCAGTGGCTTCTGTGGTGGCCAGAATAAAAGCTGCAGATGCCGATGTGGGACCTAATGCTGAAATGGAGTACAAGATTGTGGATGGTGATGGTTTGGGAGTATTCAAAATTTCTGTTGACAAAGACACCCAGGAGGGAATCGTAACAATTCAGAAGGTAAGACTGATATTTCTCACTGATTCTGTTTGGATCTGTGCAAGATAAGGGCAGGTAATGCGAGTAAGAGCTTTTGTTTCTAAGAGCCTTATCTGCTTTAAAATTTTCCATTGGCTTATTTCATCTTGACTTCAGTATGTGTGCGTGTGTGGGGGATTTTGAGCTGTTTAATGACTTACACTGAAAATTCTTGCAGGTTTTTTTGGCAATAGCTGTATTGTTTTGCGGAGTTTTTTTGTAAAGCTCCTGCACATACAGGTTTGGATGGGAATCTCAGCTTTAGTCTCATTTTTCCTTGTATTAAAGAGAAAATCTGAAAATTTACAGTAAAAATGCAAGCTCCAAGTACAAAATGGATCCCAAATGTAATAAAAAAAAATCTAATTGTCATTGCCTGACATTTTTCTGTTCAGGAGGCAAACATTACTTACATGAAAGTTATGTCAGTAAAATTATGTGTAATATATTAGAAGATAGCATATTATAAAAAAAATTACTTCATAAAAATGGAAATATTGAAATAAAGATTTTTTATTCCTAACTTTCTATATGTACAGTTAGGAAACTAACATTTTAAAATTTAAGAATCTTGTTTGTATGAAAATATTAAACTTCAGCATTCTCTACCTTGCTGCAACACATTTTAAAGAGTATCCTTTTACAAAATAAAAGTGTGCTGAACTATTTTACAAAACAATTTAAATTCTGAGGAGAGCAGGAAAAAAAAATCCAACACCTTAGACAGAGGAACTCTGCTAAGCAATTTAACCCCCCCTAAAATGTGGGACGGACTTGGCATTTTAGAATATGTGTAAGTATATTACAGAACAAGGACCTATATTTGTAGTTAATGTGATTCCATAGCAGATTTTTTTTCCCTATATACTCTTTAATATCTGTAAACTTCACCTACAGGTTGTGGGTTTTTTTGTTTGTGTGGGTTGTTTGGTTTTGTTTTTTTTTCCTCCTCTGGTGCATCAATTCCTTTCTACAGCAATATAAATCTTCAGCAATGTTGCAAAGAATCGGGCTAATTCTCTGATGCCCTGCACACTTGCTGAGAGCTGGTAAGCACCCATAGATATCACAACAAATAGACAGTGTACAGCACCCTTGAAAGATTAGGCTCTAATATGTGTAATGTGAATAATCTTTTTTTTAGGTAAACCCATCCATCTTAACCTTCTTGCAACGTGTGCTAATTTCTGCTTAGCACATTTGCAGTACAAGTGATGAAAAGTTAGTTGTCTCTTAGTTCAACAGCCAAATTCAATGTAACTCCTTCAGTTTGCTTGTTTAAGATTTTTGAGCAAAGACCTGGAAGAAATATGCCTATCCTAGGGGGAGAGCATTTATCAGTGCTACAGTGAGCAACACTGAATCAGTCGGGGGCTTCAGTAGTCTAATTTGAGAACTGTTGAGTTCATTCGAAGTTTTAGTATCCTCTTGTAGTCATGGTGTTTGCTCCTGGAATCTCCTGATTCCAATGTTCTACAGTGGGCCACAGAATTATTATGTATTATTTCTGTAATTGTTTAACCAGGCAGCTGAACTGGACTTTGCAGTACTGAACTTTTATCCTGAGAAGTACTCTATGAAATGGCTATTGGACTGCATTAAAGACATTACAAAATTTTGACCTGATGAAATGCTGCAATTTGCTAATGATTTCTAAACCTAGATGCTGCTATATATTGTCACAAGAATTCAGACCTTTTTCTCTGCAGCATTAGAACATTTCTCTCATTTACCTACTGTTACTGACTTACTTTCCCCTGCCATACTCTAAGGGGAGTCCACACGCTGAGGGATACCTCCCAAACCTCTGGAGGCCCTTAGCTCTTCAATTGGACTCCAGAAATCCTGGTGCCTTGCCCAAGGCTGAACAATACTCCCTGCCAGCCCTGCAGATAAAATGGCAGAGAACATTGGCTAGGAGGGCAGAGAGAGAGTGAAGAGCTCAAGCACAGCGACTAACAGGCAACAATGCCTTGCTGTTCTCTGGAGGACATATACACAGAAGACCATCAATGACAGCGTATGTGGGTTAATGGGCTTCAACCACAAAGCCTAACCTGCCATATCACTATGGAGTCAGGCAGAGGTAATCCCTGCATGATAATATGTGCTTGTTAGTAAGGAATCAGGTAAGAAATTAAGTCTGTAGCATGGAATCTGCCTAAACATTTTACTGTCTGGCACATGACATTCTGTACACCTCTGGGTGCAATCAGCTCTCTCCTTTTCATGTCCATGAGATCAGCTGAGGCATTGACAAACAGCTTGGCCTCCAAACACATGCCCATCATTTTAAACTTGTGTGTATTTAAATACTCAGATGACATGTCTGCATCTAAATCAAGCAGTAAAATGCCACGGCGAAGAATTCTGAAACGGCACGCTTTGGTTCTAAATGCAAATGCATGCTTTAGTTTTGCATACTTTTGCTGCAATCATACGTACCTCTCAGCAGGCTAGGCATGAAAATCACCACAGTATCTCTGAGCAGCTGAAGGCACTACTCCATTCATTTTTGTGCTGGGAGCTGTGGAGAAAATTTGGCACCTGGTTATTGGAGTTCCACATGTAGACTGAGGATTTTACACTCCGTTTTTAGAAGGATAACAATTTTGAGACAATTTGAAAAGTTGACTTCCTTGCTAAAAACTATGATTTTTAAAACTAGGATTTTTTTAAAAAAAGAGAGAAGTGAGATTTAAAAATTCAGTGAGAAAAGCAGGGTTTTTGTATGCTCCAAGTGGATGGAATGTGAAAGAAAGCGCTAGTCTAGTGCTTAATGTCAGTATATACTCGGTACTAGACTAAACCTCTGTTCAAGGTAACATTTTGACAATAGACTGTAACTCATAATAAATCCCTTGACCACAAGGAATCAGATAAGAGAGGAATACCTTCTCTGCATTTTCATCTAGTTTGTCTTTATCCCTCCAAAGAGTAAGAAATAGAGTTGTACTACTTTATGCAACACAAACAAGGAGCATGCATGTTGTACCACTGTACAGTATTTGCTGCTATATGGCTTTTCACATGCTTGTGTGTCTTGGTTTCGGCTGCCGCCGGCAAAAAAAGCGCCACGCGGC